CATATTGCGCCAGGCCTCCCTGTGCTTCACTGCATCCCTGAGTTTGCTCAGTTTCATGCTCATTGCTTCAGTGATGCTATCTAACCACGTCTGCGTATGAACAATTACAAACAGAAATAAAATCAGCACGTTGACATAAAGCTTTTTTTCCAGCATATTATAGAGGCTATGTTTGCATAACGTGCTTAACCAGATCCGTGAAAGGCTGAGCAGCTACATTTGCCCAACATGCTGAAGTTTGATTACAGTTACAGAACAGTGATTCACAATACTGCAGGCCTCCCTGCCAGTCTAAATGCCAGGTAGCATCTGAATTTCAATCAACATTCAGAAGGGAGAGATACTCTATCACTTACACAAAGGGCAGCTCCCCTCCCACCCCTCCCTCTTTGCTGGATTTAGATTTAAATCCTTGGAAGAAAAAGGCAGAACCCAGCAGACACAGAGCAAGGTGTTTCTGCGCCTGAGCTGTATAAACAGGCACAGTGTATTCTCTTCCCAACAGCTTTGATAAATGGCTGGAATTACCCCAAGAAGGTGGCAGAGGTTTAGAAACAAGAAAGCAGAGGATTTTGCTTCACAATATTTCTAATGAAGAAGTAACTGCTCTAATTATATGTTGCAATAGATTTCAATTTCTTTTGTCTAGGTGTCCTAAAAAATGTATTCTAATTCCTATTTCTCTGCACAAGTAGCTCAATATTTACATTTTAATTTATTTTTACTTTTTTATTGATTTATTTGGAAAGGATAGATAACAAAGGGTCATCTTGCCCAGATGCTAATTAGAGTAGATTAGCACCATCTTGTGGCCTGCCATGAGCATTGCGTGCATTTTTGTAAATTGGGTTTCATATATTGTATCTTTTGAGTGAGTTTATTTTTAAAAATAGTTTGATTTTTTCTCTTGTGAGATTTCCCAATGGGGAAAAAGTTAAAAGATGCTTTTACGCTACCAGGTTCCATTATAGACATTTTTACCTTTTATTTGCTACATTATTTCCATTTTTACTTTTTATTTGCTACAAAGTCACTACAGGTTGTTTCTCTCACAGACTGGAATTAGACCGAGGTTGAAAAAATGGGACCAAATTTGAATATGAAAACCAAACGACGACAGGTACAACAACCAACCTTAGAACTGATAATGAAGACTGCTACACCAGGGCAGGAGGTAGGGCCAAGCTGTGTAAATTCAGTGGACCTCTAGACAAGGAAGTTTGAAACCTTCAGCCTTTCACCCACAGGTCCAGCCTGGTAGCTACACCTTGGTTAAGGTTTTGTGGCATAGCATGTTAGCCCAGTACTTGAATGGAAGATTACAGGAAATCCCAGGGCTATAGCAAGATTGGGAAGTCAAAAATCATCCTGCAAGAAAGCAAGGACAGACCATTTCTGTATTCTGCCAGGAAACCAACATGAATGTATCCATTACATTACCAGGAATCAAGTTTGACTTAAGGGTTAAGGTTAGGTTAGGTTAGGTTAACTCTGTTATATCTGGGTTGCAAAAATCCAGTTGATTACTAGATGTCAGCAAAGCCTAGATATGTAGTTCAAAGCTCAAGGAAAGTTTAATCTTTTGGTGCAAAATCAGAAAACTGATTTACTGGATACTAAATTAAACGCGCTGTTTGTAGCTTTATTCTTGGTAACTTTGGCAGTGTTCAATCTATGGATCTCAGTCCATGAAATAAAACAAAATTGATGCTGCAACTATCATAGCTTACTCTCCAAATTCCCTACAGGTGGTCCCCGGGTTAAGAACGCCCGGTTTATGGACAACCCATAGTTAAGAACGGAGCCTATTGTGGCAAAATTCGAGTTAAATACACAATGGTTCAAGTTAATTACACGATACTACTTATATAGTATTATACAATAATACTGTTCCAGCTTATATACAAATTCGACTTAAGGACAGACCTTGGGAATGGAACTCATTCTTAAACTGGGAACTACCTGTAGTGAATTTGGAGAGTCAGGTTCCTCCGGGTGAGGTGGGGAGCAGGCAGGAACCCTTGTTTCAACTAGCTTCAGAGGAGAAAACACAAATCCTCAAAGTACAAGACAAAATACTCCTTTTACGGAAACTGATGTAAGGGGAGAAACCCAGATTCCTGGTTGGTTCTTGGGATTTGATTTTCCTTCCTGGGTTTCATTGCCTCTGCCCATTACTAACTTTTCTTTAACCCTTTCAGTGTCTGAACTACTTGAAATAGAATCTCCTCACATTTATGAGAGTTTATTTCCACAATCTTCCTGGGAAATCAGTGGCAAATGGTTGTGGAAATTAGACTTTGATGGGGAAGGTGGGAGACCTTTAAAGATATAGATGAGAGAGAGAGAGAGATCCTCTGCTGCCGGTTGTCCTCTTCCTCTCTTTCCTTCCATCTTTCCCAGCATCAGAGCCTTCATCAGAGAACTAGGTCTTTGCCTAATGTGTCTGAAGTAAGATCATTTGACCTACTTGATCTGTGCCTTGAGTGAGAACTCTGGGTTGTTCAGTATTTCATTTGTTTTCTTGAAGTAGGAGCGATACGTATTATCTATCTTTTGCTATAACCATAATCCTCTATTAGGATGGTCACAGTGTCCATTGCCTGCACTATGCTGTTCTTTGTAGGAACGCATCATGGCATCTGAATCTCTTTTCCAAGACCTTCATGGCTAATCTACCAAGTGCTAGTCTGTGGTGTATTTCTTGACTGCTTGTTCCTTTACTGTTGATGGCTGCCCCTAAAGGCAGACGCTATCCATCACTTCAGTATCTTCATTATCAGTTCTAAGGTTGGTTGTTGTACCTGTCGTAGTTTGGTTTTCATATTCAAATTTGGTCCCATTTTTTCACTGTGTTCCTTGACTTTTATTACTAAAGTTTGCAGATCCTTTGCATTTTTGGCTGATGAAGTAGCCATTCTTGTTACCCTGGCTTTAATCTTTTAATATACTGTAATTGTACGATTTAAAAAAATGTTATGTCATTATTTGTATCTGTTGTAATTTTATGGTTTAACCTCTTCTTTATACTCTAATATAGTTGTAAAATATAGATAATATGTATCGCTCCTATTTCCCCTGAATTGGACATCGTTGACACCCTTCTATGAAAATGTCCAAAGTACTACCTAGTCTGGCTTCACAGGACTTATTTCACGCACTGTGGCTGAGGATATGCACGTTGTCACTGGATGGGCTCGGCCAAACATCTGCATTCTTGACTCTCGCCCATGCCAGGCTTTAACAGCAAGCCAAAGAGAGAATGCCTGGACGGTCCCAAGAAGTATTTATTGTGGATTAAGGAGGGAGTTAGGGAGGGGTGTGCTCTGAAAGGGGTGGTTGTGCAGCTTCTTCTTCAGCACTCCTCAGAACGACAACAATTCTCCAGAGAGAAAGCACCTCTTCCTATATCAACCTGATCTTCAGTCAAGGGTCCTTCAAGGTGATGTCACACCAACTCTAGAATGCTGTCCTTGACTCCTGATTAAGGCACAATTAATTCTATTCAGCTATTATGGAGTGGGTTGTCTCTTCATGTACTATTCTGTCATTCCAACTAAAGTCAGGTTAAAATACCTTATGTAAGTAAATTCAATTCAGTGAATTCAATGAGACTTTATATTCTGTCTCCAAGCAAAAAGGAACAATAATATCTAATAAATTATTATCAGTAAAGCCCAATGCCCATGATATGTGAAAATCAATAGGATTTTATTGACATGTTTTGCCAGAAAACTCACTGAAATGTTGGATACTTCCTAGATGATAGATAACAGTGAATTGCACTGATTCATTAACAAGATAATCACTTCAATGTATCTACAACATTATACACACATATAAAAAAATCCATCTATTCTAAAAGAAAATCAAAAACAGAAAATTAGACATGGAAGAAACATTAATTTGTCTTTAAGTAATTTAATAGGCAATTTTTTTATTACCTTTTCAGAATTGCCTTCTACAATCCCTCCCCCCCCGAAATGGTTGAAATAATAAATGTTATCATTTTTTTAAAAAATCCTTCCACATCCTACTTTACTGCATAGGTCTAGAAGTGTTTCCAAATGTTTATGACACTGATCCTTCTTTAGCTGATTCTAATGCTGTAGACAAGGGAGTTCTCTAGGTATGTCACATTGAACTTCATCCCCAAAGCTAAAGACATATGGCTTGAACCTCATCTAATTGCACAGCCATCCACAATACATTCTGGGGAACTTCTTGCCATTGACTCTTCACCTATATGGAGCAATCAGGACGGGGTGATTTACAGATGAGAAGAAAGGGGAGGAGTACCTTTACTCTGCAATTAAGCTTATAGTCCCCAAACAAAGAAATATGAGAGGGAAGGTGTTGAAGAAAAATGAGAAATGGAGGAAGACTTAATCATCACGTCTCCCCTACTGATGAGAGCTCCACTTTTTTTGAAAATTGGACTTACTAAACACAATAGGACTTACTTATGAGTAAAGGCTGACAGATGACAGGTACTTGCAGACCAAACGATTTCTGTGTTCTAACTTCACATCAACATTCCCAGTGTCTAACAGTGAATATTGGTGACTTTTAGAAACACTGTGGTCACCATTTTCCAGTACAGGGAACAACTGTGCTCTTAGGAGCAACTGGTCATATACATCCTTGAGGTGGCAGTAAAACTTTCCTAGAAAGAAGGAAGCAACTACTGTATGCCATTTGTCCTCTACCCAAATCTGGAGAGGCATCGGAAAGGAGGAAGGCTTTTGCCAGCAATGATTTGTACCAGAAGGCCCAACAGGCTTAATAAGCAGTTATGACAGTGAAAAAAAGTTCATGTAATGAGTCTCCCTGTAATTAAATACAGATGTTCAAATGCTCAAAGCTCATGCAACTATCACTGAAGCGTGTGTTTCCATCACTGCCTGCTGGCTATCCAAATACCTGGTGCATAAGTAGTTATAGGGCTGAATGCTAAGACTTAAATGATCACCCTGCAAATCTTCCAAATAAAATTTTAAGTGCTCCTGCAGGATCTGAAAAAAAGAGTTCGTATTTACCAGCCTCGGTATATAATACTTTGGAAGTCAAGGTTTCCACTGCCAAACACATGCCATAAAAATTAACTAAAAAACAAAAAAATGTCACTTTAAATCTATGCATAGGCACCAGCTGACCAGTGGCTTTATTGAAGTGGAGAAATCTTCAAGGGTATCATAATTCTGGATTCCATTTCCTGAATAAGTGGTACTGTAAATAAAAACAACAACAAATAAGGTGATACTTATGACACATGAAAAATGAACGGCTGCTGTAGCTAAAGTAAATACAAGGCACATTTCTGCAGCCCAAAGGGCCAGTCAAAGTAGCCATCACAACTTTAAACATATATTCAGAAGTGGTTGGAGGTGTTAAAGAAAAAGCTGTAGTCATGCCTAACACCTTCAGTTATACAGAAAACCAGGTCAGTAGCATCTGCAAGGGGTAGGTAAAAAAAAATCCAAGATGGCAGTTACATCTGTGCAATTGAAGCCCCGCCCCTTTATACAGGTGTGTGATACACTCACAAAAAGGGCAGGGCTTCACTCCTGCAGCCATGGCCACCATCTTGACTTTTTTGACCTCTCGTCAGATGCCTCTGCTCTAGGTCGCTTTACATGGACAAAGATGCACTGTGGGGGAAATCAAGACGCGACATGGGATGGCAGCTTCATTCTGTAGCATTTCGAAACTCTTCTGAGAGTTTAGAAAAAAGAGACTATGCTGCTCCTGATGAGGGAGATGAGCAACCCGTGAGACACAGACTAGAGTGGGATAAGCCTGAGAACAGAGAAACAAAAAGTGGCAACAAGAAAAGAAAAAGGAAAAGGGAGGCAGAATACTCAGAAATCCTGTGCTCAAGGGAAGGGCCTCCTTTATCAGAGCAGCGCCAGGACACAGCAGTAACTCTCTAGAAACTCAGCTGGTACTCAGGAGTTGGAAGCGGAAGAGTCAAGGACAAGGCTCAGATCGGTGCTCTGTTTACACTGTAGCCCTAATAATGCAGATCCGTGACTGCAGAATCTAGCAAGCTCGTTTTCTACATGTAACAGCCTGAGTGTTTTAATCTTACATGTCTTTCTCCTGTCCAGATTTCACGTCACTCATTTCTTGGTCTTGGAAATGGAGAGAAACTGCACCTTGATCATCTTGCCTGGTCTCCAGCTCCCTGCCTTCAGCCTTGGCAGCTTCAGACCCCATACCCTCAACCCCAGCAGCATAACCAGCTCCACACACGATGAGCATCATTGCTATGATACTGTCCCCCAAAAAACCCTAACTCTGCTGATCCCAGAACCTCCAGTAGAAAACTTTATCTTTAATCCTCATCACATTTAAAGAAGTATAGACGTATGGTCCAAAATGCTTGCTAATCCTGTCTCCAGTTACACCACAAAAACTGCCCTGAAATCAGACCTCCCAGTTAGCCATCTGTCAGCCTCATCCTGGGGATTACTAGTACTTGGAGAAGAGAATTTGTATCCAGAGAGGGAACAACTAGGAGAGAAAACTACAAGGTTTCAGGGCCACAACATCTTATGCAAGTATTTATTTCCTCTTTTATTCATTCACCAAATTTCTATCCCAACGCAATCTAGCTTATTTTATTTATTTATATTTCAAATTTGTCACTGCCTATCTCACTACAAAATGACTAATGCCTCTCAGAGGCTTAAACAAAATATAAAACAAGTTACAGCGTTAAAATCCCAAGAGGGGCCATCCAGAACTATATAAGCAAGAGATAAGAACTGATAAGAACAGGGGAAAAAAAGAAATACAAAGATGGTGTCCTATATCAGCTTCAGAAAATGCCCTCAGAAACAGTTCTGAGCACAGAATTATTTCTGCCAGGAGGCTGTTCCAAAGTGCTGACGCTGCCAAAGAAAAGCAGTCCCTTCTAGCTTTAGCCTCCTCTCCCAAATCTCTCAGAAATGTGGGACTATGAGCAGCTTTTCCCTGGATGTTCTAACAGACTGAACTCTCACTGGTTGGAATATGCAGCCCTGCAGGTACCCATATGCTGTGTCATAAAAGGCTTTACAGGTCAAAGCCAACACCTCAAATTGTACCTGGAAACCAAGCAGCAACCAGTTCAGGGTCCACAAAATTGGTACAATGTGCTCCCATCTCCAGGAGCCAGTAAGTATGTGGGCCGCTACATTTTGGACCATATGCAGTTTCTGAGTAGTCTTTAAGGACAGCCTCATATAAAACTTACTGCAGTAATCCAAGTGCTAATGAGAACATGAGTTATTTGTAGCCAGCTCCTCTACACCAGGTAAGGCTGCAGACTGGAGTACCCGCCAAAGCTGAGCATAGGCCTCTCTGGCCACAGCTTCCACCTGCTATATTCAAGCAGGAGCTGTGAGTATTAAACTGTTACCTGTGTAGTACACAAGCTCATCCCATCCATGCTTGTGCCAGGCGGCATTTCTTATGTCTTCTCTCGCCTGCAAGTCTCTGTAAGCTGGAAGCATTGGTAGAAAAAAGATTTGGAGCTCTCAGTGATGTGATAGCTATCAACATGTTTAAAATACAGCAAAATGCCATTCAAGGCTCGACAGTGCGGCACCTACAAGTGTCAATGTACCACTTGACAAGTGTCCTGCTGATACTGATACATTTTATTTTATTTTTCATTCTTTCAAGTAGTGTGGCAAGTAGAGGTGGTGCTGTGGAGGCCAGGAAATGACCCAGAATATGGGACAAGAAAACTGAATATTTTAACATGAACAAAATCCAAATTTTCCAGAGGAATGTTAAAAGGATGCAAGTAATAGTTGAATTTGCTCTTATGTTAGGACTGAACTAGAAGAGGTAATGAAGTGTATGTCTAAGGCAGGAGTGCAAAATGTTCAGCCTGCCAAAATCTGTTTTGCAGCCTCCAGTGCACCACAGCAGGACCAAAGCTTTCAGTCCTTTTGTTGTATTTTTGGTGATTTGGCAGGCGTGGGGTTAATGGGAAAAATGTGTGCCTTAAATTTTGCAGGGGCTTCAAACTCCTGCTTCACCCCTTTTAATCTCCAAAACCTCCTCCAAATTAGATCCTGTTCACATTGTGGGCCCTGACGTGGCCCCCAAGCCAACAGGAATGACTCATTCATGGCCTAGAAGCCCAGTCCTACCCCAAAGATGATGGACCATGTACAACTGTCCAATCTGTGAGAAAAATCCACCAACAGCTTCTTTATCATCCTGCCGTATACGAATGGCCCGGGCCCTGAAAGTTAGGAGATGGATGTTTACAAACTGGATGTTGGAGTTGACATAAATGCTGCCTCATATTTCAAACACAGCAATAAACAACAGATTGCAGAGACACATGTTGCTATAAATAATATTCAGAGCAATGGAAATAATTTGGAAGACTAGAAGCCAACAATTTTTAGATTACAGCATTAAAACATAATTCAGCTTATGTAGGTTACTTAGAATTTAAAGAGTGCTTTGAATCCATTAATGATTTTACAATAATTATTTATTTATCTAAAACATTTGTATAGTTGCCCATCTTAAACCAAACTCTGGACGGCTTATTAATATGTTTTATTAAAACAAATCTGGCAGGGTAGTTTCCTTGATTTGTAGAAGAAGAACCAGCACTGAACAATTTGTCCAGGACCACTTCAGAATGCCCAAGGTTTGAAATCAGGCTTTGCAGACACCAAGGCCCAGGATGGTATTTGTCATTCAATAACTATCCTCAATCTTGTTACTTAATATCAAACTGCCTTATATTAAGTTAGACCAGTATTTTTCACCCTTGATAATGTTAAGATGTGTGGACGTCAACTCCCAGAATTCCCCAGCCAGTCATGCTGGCTGGGGAATTCTGGGAGTTGGTCCACACATCTTAACATTGTCAAGAGTGAAAAACACTGAGTTAGACAGTTTCAAGCAGTACTGTTTATGCTGACTAGCCACAGCTACTCAAGGCTGCTGGAAGCCAAGGTTATTCTCAGGATACCAGCAGCTGCTTCATACAAAGCATATCCTCTATTACATATGTTTTTCTCAGATAGTTTTGAGTCTGGGGCTAGTTAGCCTGCCCTAAAGCAAGGGACCAGTCACCAGTCAGGTAGAAGTGACATTTTCCTAACTTTCCATCTTAATGTAGTCCTGAACTGGAAAAAAAACAGTTGCATTAGGATAAGGATATGAATGTGTCTAGAACAAGTTCTTACTTTGTCCTTTGGATTAAAAAATGTTTGTGGCCAGCATTACTTAAGAGGATGTTATCCAAAATAATCCTTAGCTTGATGTGGCAAATGCTACATGACTTATTTTATTTATATTTACAATCAGTTCAACAAAGCAATCTCCTACTCTTCTCATTTTGCAGGTGAGAGTCTGAGGCTCAACCTAGTCGTAAAATTCTGCACATCTAAAAACAGAAGACATAAATTGCATTATAGGTATAACTTATACTTGTCAGTATTTATACCAACTCTGCTCATGCACACGTTTTATTCTTAAAAAGCTGGAAAATTCTTCTCCTATCGTTTTCATTTTTTAATGTGCACCTTTATTTTTCCCAGTAACGGGTTTGTTTACCATAGAGGTGTTTGCCCTTCTGGTTAACAGAGAATCAGGTAAGGATGAATGAAAGGGCAGGAGGTCGCTGCCCTAAGCTGTGCTTAGAAATATATGAAGGCTTCCAATAGCTCTTCCCTGAGCTATTCACAACAATGAAAGGTGCTAAGGTTGAATGGGATAATCATATTCATAATCTTCTCAACAGATATTGGGGAAATAGAATGTTGAATTGGATGACACCTAGTTAGTACTTGCACAATTATTTTTGTTTTCAATAATTTCCTTCCAGCCCTTGCTTAAGTGCTGGAAGCAGCATATAAACTTATACGGCAGGGAAGTCAGCCTAAAATGTCATTCCCAACACATTATGGTTCTTACCAGTAGTTGCCCCATTCAATCATTGTTCCAGGCTGAAAGAAAACAATATACGTCATTAGATCTAAAAAGACTTCTTTTTATCACCCACAAACTGAGAATTAATATGGACTGCTACCTGTTTCTAGAAACCAGTTTTAGATTCTTTTCAAAAACAACACAAGAATGATGGGATGATGACTTAACACTGTTTCAGTTTTCACTAACAAGAGCGGTTATGCTGAAGTGCTTATTTCAGTGAAAAATATGACACTGAGTATTGTCAAACGACAGAACTTTCAGGAGAAAACTAGTAAAAATAGGTAGTATTGGCACTCTAGTTAGGCATTTCTGTCAAGAACCAATCTGCCATTTTGTCTACCAGTTGTATTATCTGAATAAGCTTCCACAGGTATACAATCTTGTTTTAAGACATGATTTCTGAGTAATTAATTAACTACTGTTAATTCAGTAAGATACAGCCTAGGCTCTGAGGTTGTGCTGAAAACAAGTATGTTTCTTCTTTATTTTTAAAAATGCCCTGCAAATTCTCTACATGTGGAAGAAAGCCCACTCACACGTAATTGATAAGACCTTAATTCATAGATATTGGGCCCTGGCCTGGGAACAGGTTCATTCCAAAAACTGAACTCCAACAGCAACTGATTCTTGCGGGACAGCAGCATGTTTCCTCTTGCTTTGCGAAACTCTGTAAATTCCTAAAATAAAATAAATAAAATTCACTATGTTCCTTAAGGTTATTGTGGAAAGATATTACACTTATTGTACTTATTGAAAAAGAATTTATCCAGATTCTCTTTATTCATAACTCAATAATGGAAAGGTACCAAATATGAGTGATTCCTAATGGGTACCCAACTCTAAAACTCATCAGTGATAATGTAAACACTATTTGCATAAATCTTACTTTATGTAGGATTTGCGGTACTGAGCTATTCAAGAATACATAATCTATTTTAAAGGAGAAAGAGAAAAAGGGGTGTGAGAGTGAGAGGAAGAGATCACATATATAATGAAAAATGCTATAGTTATTAAAATAGCCTTCCCCTACCTGGTATCATTTAAATGTGTTTGCCTTCAACTCTTAGAATCTCTAGCTAGCATATCCAACAGTGATTCCAGGAACTGAAGGCCAAAACATGTAGAGAGCACCAGGTTGAGGAAGGCGGGATTAAAACATATTAATTTAAGAAGAAGCAGTGAGATAGAAAATTGCATTTAGTTCTAAAATTGTGATATATTAACATAAAACCACCCATCTTTTTCTTAAATAGTATAAAAAGACTGAGGTGTTATCAGAAATAAGGGGTCAGATCTCTCAATTTTGGGGTGGAGGCTGGACAATGAGGTACAGCTCTTCAAACAAAATTGGGCCACTATGAATGAAGAAGTGCATGAAACTGGTGATGAAGCTGCAGAAAACTTTTCCACAATACCATCTTTCACTAACAATATTATAGCAGTGTCCCAGAGACATGAATTCTTGGTAGAGACAGTCAGCTTTACAGGAACATGTCAGAAGCTGGCCTCTGTCTGATAAATTTTACAGTAGATAGATAAATTTGCAGATAGATATAGTAGATAAGAGGAGCTGAGCTTTCTTGACAAAGCATCCTGAGAACTATACTGCATCAGATCAAGGGACTCTCTTTCAAGGACCACTTCCAGGGTCCAAGGTCTCTTCCATGTGACCACTGACTTCATACACCACTAATCATAAGCAGGATTTTCCTTTTTTCCCCTCTTACAGTGTTTGCTTTTGCGGGGGGGGGGGGGGGGGG